TCTTCTCCTGTCACTGGAAATCAATCACTGTACCTACTGTTGGTGAGGTCTTATCATCCGTGTTTGAGAATAAAAGATGTAAATTGGCATTTCGCGATCAATCTACTTTCACATCTGTTCTGCGGCATGAATGGTCAAAATGGGAAGACGTTGTAAAAATTAGATATGGACTCTAGCCATGTTCCCATCTGACTGAATAAATATTTTTCTTCCGGACTTATTTTGTAGTTTGTGTTGTCACTATTTACTTGACATTTCGTTTCACTTCTGTTCATAGTTTATTTATCTCATAGTTTTTTTTAGATATGTATGTGTATTCATTTGTTTTTACTTTGACAAAAGTTTATAAGTTATTATATATCTACCAATATTAAAATGCAAGTTATATATGTTATTTTAAAACCTTAATAAAATATATGTGACAGGAATAAAACAAAGTAGATAATCCCCCCAAAAATCATTGTATGTCTTTAAAATACAAAATACAAATAACACAATATCTAATTATCTACAAAAGAAAAAATAACAGACATAGGACAATATAGTCTGTATATAGGGACAAGGATATTTCAATGGTCCACTCACAAGAGTATAAAGATAGTAGACATTGTAGAAGAGCCCTAGTCCTGACCAGGACTTTCCTCCGCTAGATTATCAATACTGGAACTCAGGAACAAGATACTGCCAAGTGAATAGCCCACCTCCTCCCCAGTAACTGGACAACACACAGTTCTGGGAGTACAACTAAACTTTATTCTGCCACAAACGGCTTTTATGCACTGGCCAGCATGGGGTCTACATAGCAAAAATATAGGGGTTTCTTCCCAGGAGCCTTTGTGTCTGAGAGATAATTGAGCTCAAATTAGGATAACTCAATTATTTCTCAGATACAGAAACTTATAAAATATTTCTCCAATACCTCAAAAATACATGAAAATAACGCAGGAAAAAAAGTACCCCCAAGATCCATGGAAATCCCACAAGAGTCACATCCTCGGATAGCCGTGATCTGGGTGACCAACATATCCAAAAATCACCCAGATCGGTTCAGTGGTTTGGTTTTTCCATGGAAGTCATTTTTTAACATGTATTTTTTTTTTGCAGGGCCCATAATCCTGGGGCAAGAGGCTGGCAAGCAGGCCTCTCCAAATCTCAGTGACGAAGGTGCTTTCATCACAACACTCCCCCTGACTTTCAGGGAGCGAATGCTCCCCCCAGTTGGTAGATCATATCTACTGAACGTTGTTTGTCTAGGTGGTCGGGACATTAAACGGGCAGCAGTATGAACTCCGCCAGGTTCGCAGACTCACGTGGCCGAAAATAGTTCCAGGCGTTCAATGACCATGTACTACCGCTGCCTGTGTTCGGGAGATAAAATGCCCGCCATGCACTGGACCACGTGCTTTCGGTTATACGAATGGCGGACACCCAGGGAAAGCACTTAAGCTAATGTGTCAAGTTGTTAATTTGTGGTTAACAGCCAGGGGAGGTCGATGTTCACTGAGGTATAGAAACATAGACTGTTATGGTAGCTAAGAACCACTCGGCCCTTGTAGTCTGCCCAAAAAAGGGGGACTACACACCAGTTATTTGGGAGATGAACAAGGGGGTACGGACAACCAAACACAAGGAAATGAAGTCTGCTACAGACTCAAATTGAGTATCCTTCTGGATTTAGCCCATCAATTGAGTACCAATACAGTGAAAGGAAAATATTATGTGATAAACTGATGCATAAATATAAATAATTCTCCGGTGACTTCTTCAGTAACTAGAATGTACAAATGACAAGGTCATTCACTGAAACTCAAAGAATAGAGATTTCACCTTTATCAGAGACAAAGAATCAGAATCCATAAGTCATGCTTGCATTCTCCTTGAAAATATTGAACTCACAAATCTGTCAAGTGGACTCATAATGGTTACCTTGGGGAATTACTCTCCTGCTTCCAAAATTAGAGTATTGGAAAGGGTTAGGAATAGATATGAAAATTCCAGCAATTCGGATGTTAACCAAGTAATAAGCATATCAATGAAGCTTTGTCCTTTAAAATAACATGCAGCATCAGTCTGTCGGTGAAGGATTATAGGTAACCTCTACCAGAAAAAAACTTGTACTCTGTAGAGACTATACAGGTAATGAAATATCTAATTACTGTGACCAGGGCAGCTGAATTCAGAAGGTGGGAATTGTCTTACCTCAAAGAGAGTAAGGCTACTATGCATCCAAATATATCTCTATGTATGTGTATGTGTGCTGCCAATTAGGTGGTTTATGATAAACTTAGTATTTTAATTTGTAAATGTGAGGCTAATTGTGCATGTGTTTTTATGGACTAGTGGAGAGGTCCACACAATTGTCCCACTAGGGGCCACAGAGAAGGAAGCATAAGCACTAGACTTCTGAGTCAACACTCTTCTCCCTAGGGCCTCCTCTTTCTTTTCAGGAAGAAACCTAGTCTGCATCTCATTGGTGGAGTGGTCTGTCAATCACAGATCATGGTCTGCTGGAAATGTGGTTTCTGTATTTAGATTGGTTATCCAGGATGTCATAATAAGTAGGTCGGGGGTTACACTAGCATTCCTCCTCCGGCTGAATGAAAATGAGAGGGCTTCAGAGGGCTTGGGAGAAGAACTTGAGAACTGAGTTTGAGCAATATCATCGTCTAGCTGGAGGCTTAAATGAGCATATAAAGGTGTTAATTATTTGTTTCCAGGCCATTAGTCAATGTCCATATATTCTGAAAATGGTTCTAAAAAGTAACAGTTAAATTCTGCTGTTGTTTTGATCATATTTATTACATTTCCTACAAGTAATATAAAAAGTGAAAGTTTTTTTTCCATAGTAAATTCCCCCAATTTTAACAGAAATTTGTATTTTAGAAGATTGACAAATTTAGAGCGGCAGAAAAAAGAGAAGGAAAGATTAAAAAATCTAATGCATCATTGGGAAAATGTATGAAATAAATAAAAAAAAAAGATGCTTAGGACACAAAAGAAGCAACAGATTAAACAAAAAATGAAACATTAAATATTGCGTCAATAATTGTTGCCAACAATATTGGTTACATATAGTACATAGCTGTACTATCTCTCTATATACACACACTAAATATAATGGCTGTAAATGCAAGGAGACTGATCCGATACAATATTCTGAGTGAGGTATATATATAAAAATAGTTGGTTGCACTCTCGGAATTCCATTAAAATATAACTTTTATTGCAGCTTCTAAAACAGATCAACGTTTCAGTCCATCTTGTGGACTTTCATCAGGATCACAAAAACATGTTAAAAACATTTCATATGTAGGATGCAATAATTGTAATCTAACTCACTCCAGGTGCAGTGTGTGAGAGCCGGCATCCGCCCATTTCCGTGACGTCGTTGCGTGACACTAACGTCACTGCCATGGTGACGCAATATACCAAAAAAGTCACCACGGCAACGTTTAACAACAATGAACCTCCTAACCACCGTGCAAATGGAGCCTTAATAAGTGACAGCTCTATAAATGGGGATAAAGCTATCCCAAAGGTTATAACAGGACAAAAACAAAGTGATATCAATTGTAGTTGTGAATTGTTGTTATCAACCATTCTTGTATATAATAAAGTATAATTTTGCTGTAAATTGTATAGCATTAAAGTGCCAATATTATAAAGTGCCATTTAAATAAAGTGGCAATCTAAAGTGCCATATAATTATAAAGTGCCAACCTTATGTGAAAAGTGCTATGTGCTAAGTAATAAAGTGACCAAGTGTATATTTGTGTGTATTAGATATAGCGGAGGTCGGGACTGTGACCAGGAGCCGAGACAAAGAAAGCGAAGATCAAGAACACGGAGAGGCCACCAAGGGAAGAAAACCTATACAGGGAAATCCTCCACGCAGGAGGTAATTCCTATATTTAATTTGTCTCACAGACCCCTTAATGCAACAGAAATAGATCTTCTTAGTAGGGGTCTATCATTTGTGACAACATCGAAACCAGATCAATTCAAATGGAGAACTGAATTACATAGGTTTGGAAGAGCTATGATGCGTATATGTTTATCTATGAAGAAAAACATCTGCTGGAAAAGTATAACAATAGATAACAGCTTACTATAGATTTATTGATGACTTGTTCATCGTATGGAATAACTCGCCGAGAAAGCACAAAGAATGGTCCAGGATCTTAACCAACTTCAGACGCCTGTTACATTCACTGCAGATATAAATACTGAGAAAATACATTATTTGGATCTACAAATCAGCGTGGGACCCTCAAGCCTCCAATACTCATTATATACCAAGCCTACGGACAGAAACACAATCCTCCACTATCAGAGTGCACATCCTAGGGCACTCAAAAATTTGTTACCCAAGGCACAGTTTTTAAGAGTCATCAGGAATAATTCAGACGCTCAAACCAAGGAAACCCAAATAATAGAGATGAAAACTAAATTACTACAACCAAAACCCAAGTGCTACCTTTTGGACTTTCTCCCCCAACGATAGATAGGCTGTGGTCCATGTTCCCTTTTGACTGGAAACTCAAGGCCTTAAAGTACCTGGGGGTCAACTTAACAATACCGCTCGCTAGACTCACGCGTGAAAATCACATACCCCTGACATATAAACTACAATCTATGCTAGACAAATGGCAACCCCTCGAAATCTCCTGGTTAGGTAGAGTTCAAACGATCAAAATGATGGCACTGCCCCACGTTCTGTATTTATTCCGCACCCTCCCCATAGCGCTACCGGACACACTCCTCAAAAAATTCCAATCTATCTTCAACGCCTATATCTGGAAAAAGAAACCCCCCAGAATCGCCCGCAGGCTTACATGGCTGTCCCCAAACAAAGGAGGCATAGGAATCCCCGATATTAAAGGGTATTACAAGGCCTCAGTGCTCGCCCATGGTGTGGAGACTCTGACGAGGGCCAGCACACCGGTGTGGCTGCCCTTGGAGAATGCGTGCCTACACCCGGCCTCGCTAACTCAAAAGCTATGGATGCGTACCGCACCAGCAAATACCCCCCCACAAAGCTTATACACTACCAACTTCCTGATAACCAGCTGGCGGAGATGGGCAAGCGAACTTATGGGACAAGCACACCCCATTTTCTTCGCTCCGCTATCCCGTCTACAAGACCTAATCAGTGACATCTCATTGAAAAATTGGCTCACAAAGGGAATCACCACAGTAGAGTCCCTATTCACACCACAGGGCATGAAACACTTCCCTGATTTACAAGCCGAATACGCGTTACCTTCTAGGGAGCTCTTCACTTATTTGCGCATCAAACACGCTCTATCTTCGCTAAAAATACACCATAGCGACCCAGAACATCTTACCACATTCGGGCGACGATGTATAACCACTAAATCCATAGGTAAACCCCTCTCTCTGAGCTATTCAGCAACCAACGATGTAGATAGGACCACTAAACATGACTATATGATAAAATGGGAACGAGACCTAAACAACACATTCCCCCTACCCATGTGGTTACAGGCAATCCAAAACACGCGTGCCTCATCGCACAGCCTATCACATTGGGAGAGCTTCAGTAAATTACTGATGAGATGGTATCTTGTTCCATCCCGCCTGGCCCAAATATACCCTACTGTTCCACGACAATGTTGGAGATGTGGAACCGAGGTGGGCACCTTGCTCCACATCTTTTGGGAGTGCACGATGCTAACTCAATTTTGGCAACAGGTTAGCAACTTAATACAAGTAATTACAGGGAACACCATCCCGCTTCGCCCAGAATGCTATCTTTTACACATTCACGCAGGAACACTGGTCTCGCCACACAAGGTGGTTACCTACCATATACTGCTAGCCGCCAAGACTAGTATAGCTAGTAGATGGAAAAACCAAGATCCCCCCAACATTCAGGAGGTGAAACAGAGAGTCCACACGACATACGAACATGAACGTCTCGCATTCCGGATGCGCTCCAAGGTAAACAAACACACAAAACTTTGGGAAAGCTGGTGTCAACACGTTCCAGTAAATAGAGGGCCGAAGAGCAGAGGGAGGGCCATCTCGCTCAGTGACACAAACACTCTAGATGAAAGCATTCGAGACCATCCAATACCCATGTAGACGTGAACACAGCGCCCCATTTTGAGGGCCCTCAGTTGATGGGAAGGGAGAGGTGCCCTTCACGCTTCGTAAGTCACTCAGGTCAGGCAGGCGAACCCCCCAAGTACTCCCTTAACACTCACGGCAGCCTCCATCGAAATTGGTAAATTCTAGACCCAATCAGTACCTTATGTTGGAATGTAATTGATGTTAGTTATATTACCCTCCGTATGCTGTCAACTGTACTAAATCCTCGTAATGTAACAGAAGATTATGTCAACACATTGTTATCCCTCCCCCTTTTTCCTTTCTGTACCCCCCTTACTTGTTGAAAGTGCGTTATCGCACAAAATCAATAAAAATTAAGACATTGAAAAAAAATAAAAAAAAAATAAATTACTACAAAGGGGGTATGATCAACATACACTGGAGAAAGCGCTTCAAGAAGCACTGAGTGCGTGCGCCTCTGAAAATAGGAAAAAGTCTTCAGAAATTGTGTTTCCAATGGTATACCATCACGCATCCCCTCAAGTAGCCTCTTCAGTCAAGAAGAATTGGGAGATATTATCTAGTGACGAGACACTTCCACAGGAATTTAAAGAAGCTCCACTGGTTTGTTTTAGGAGGAACAAATGTCTGAGAGACCTTTTGGGCCATATTGACCCTGTGTGCAGTTATCAGAAAATATGAAAGGAACAGATAAGAGGATCGGTCAGATGTCTGGGATGTGTTACATGTAGCCATATGACCCCAGCAAAAGAAGATTAACCATCCTCATAGCAACAAAGTCTACCCTATTAGATTTACAATTACTTGCAAAACCACACATGTAATTTACAAATTTAGCTGCCCATGTGGCCTTTGCTATATATGGAAGACAGAAACGGCTATCTGTGAACGCATCAGGGGACATAGGTCCAGTATCTGACTGGCATATAGGGATGGCCAGTCAAACAAACCGGTAGCAAAACACTTCTTGGAACTTAGACATACTTTGACCACATTAAAGTTTGTGGAGATAGACCACATCCCGCTACCAAGAAGAGATGGCGACCGTGGGAGGATCCTTCTTAACAAAGAAGCGTTCTGGATACACGAACTAGACACAGTATCCCCTAGAGGGTTGAATGAATCTCTGTCTCTACACTCCTTCCTGTGATAATGCAATATTTTCTTTAGCCCTAGCTTGTATATAAGTTATTGTTGTTGTTTATTTTATCTGTTTACTTTACTTTACATTGCTAAGTCGGTAGTCTTCTCTAAGGGTGTTAACTATATAAATATTTGTATATAGCAAACCATTATGTGAGCACCAGTAATTTGTAGCTTGTGAAAAGGGATTATCCCCTAGCCACTTACAAGGATGCAATATATTTATCCCAGAGTCTATAACTTAGCAAAGCAGTGGCGTACATACCAGGGTCGCCCCTGCGACCCGGTATGTACCCACTGGGCCAGCCTCTTCTCCTGGGGGGCCCAGGAGCCTGCCACCTCAGGGCCCCCCGAGGCTGGCCCTGCTGACCCCGGCGGGCGGGCTGTCTGGGTGGCCGGCGCGCGAGGGAGCACTCTCCCCTGAGTGCTTCCTCTTCCGCTCCCTCGCGCACCACACTGATACTGGAGCCGGAAGATGACGTCATCTTCCGGCGCCGGCACCCCTATGCGGCGCGCGAGGGAGCTGAAGAGGAAGCACTCAGGGGAGAGTGCTCCCTCGCGCGCCGGCCACCCAGACAGCCCACCCGCCCAGGAGCCCCAGGAGCTCAGCAGCACCACCACTGGACCCCAGCACTCCAAAAGGTAAGGAGGCTGGGGGGATTAAATTTAAAAAAAACATGTGTTAGTGTGTGTTAGTGTTAGTGTGTGTTAGTGTGTGTTAGTGTTAGTGTGTGTTAGTGTTAGTGTGTGTTAGTGTGTGTTAGTGTTAGTGTGTGTTAGTGTGTGTTAGTGTTAGTGTGTGTTAGTGTGTGTGTTAGTGTGTGTGTTTTAATGTGTGTGTTAGTGTGTGTGTTAGTGTGTGTTTTAGTGTGTGTGTGTGTTTTAGTGTGTGTATGTTTTAGTGTGTGTGTTTTAGTGTGTGTGTGTTAGTGTTAGTGTGTGTGTTTTAGTGTGTGTGTGTTAGTGTGTGTGTGTGTTAGTGTTAGTGTGTGTTAGTGTTAGTGTGTGTGTTTTAGTGTGTGTGTGTGTAAGTGTTAGTGTGGGTGTTAGTGTGTCTGTTACTGAGTGTGTCTGATGTCTGTTAGTGAGTGTGTGTTTGTCAGTGAAAGTGTATGTTTTGTAAGTGAGTGTGTATGTCTGTCTGTCGCTGAGTGTGTCTCTGTCAGTAAATGTGTGTGTCTGTTAGCTAGTGTGTATGCGTCTGATTGTGAGAGTGTATGTCTTCAGCATTTACCTTTCTCCAGTGCCGGACTTCCTTGGCGCTGGGGATCCCTCCGCCTCTCAGCTCCGAATGCACATGCGCGGCAAGAGACGCGCGCGCGCATTTAAACCACCCATAGGAAAGCATTACTCAATGCTTGCCTATGGACGTTCACTGTGATTTTCACAGTGAGAATCGCGGAATCTCCTCTAGCGGCTGTCAATGAGACAGCCACCAGAGGCTGGATTAACCCTTTCTCTGAAACAGCTATGTTTTCAGCTGCACGGTTAAAACTAGAGGGACCTGGCACCCAGACCACTTCATTGAGCTGATGTGATCTGGGTGTCTGTAGTGGTCCTTTAGGTGTGTGTGCAGCATCCCGCGGTCGCGGGGTCGCAGCCCTGCGACCAGGTGCCCGCCGCCATGTGTTGCGGCCCTGACCCGCGCCGAGTAAGCGCGGGGGGGGCCCACGGATCAATTTTTGCACCGGGCCCCATGGGTCATGTGTACGCCACTGTAGCAAAGTTTAATATATTTTATTGTACATGAATTGGATGCCATTATGTTTATTGTGGTTTTCTTTGGCACTTTAACACAAATATACACTTGGTCACTTTATTACTTAGCACATAGCACTTTTCACATAAGGTTGGCACTTTTTAATTATATGGCACTTTAGATTGCCACTTTATTCAAATGGCACTTTATAATATTGGCACTTTAATGCTATACAATTTACAGCAAAATTATACTTGTTTTTGCACTATGTATTTTATACAAGAATGGTTGATAACAACAATTCACAACTACAATTGATATCACTTTGGTTTTTGTCCTCTTATAACCTGTCATTTATAGAGCTGTCACTTATTAAGGCTCCTTTTGCACGGTGGTTAGGAGGTTCATTGTTGTTAAACGTTGCCGTGGTGACTTTTTTGGTATACCACTTCACCATGGCAACGACGTTAGCGTCACTCAACGATGTCATGGAAATGGGCGGAGCTAATGCCGCACGTACGCACACGATCCGGTAGGACGCCGGCTCTCACACACAGCACCTGGAGTGAGTTAGATTATAATTATTGCATCCTATATATGAAATGTTTTTAACATGTATTTGTGATCCTAAAGAAAGTCCACAAGATGGACTGAAACGTTGATCTGTTTTAGAAGCTGGAATAAAAGTTATATTTTAATGGAATTCCGAGAGTGCAACCAACTATTTTTCTATGTGGATATTTAAGCCCTGGCACTGCACCCGGTTTAAAAATGTTTGGAGCCTGAGTGCAAGGTACAGTCTATCTATCTATCTATCTATCTATCTATCTATCTATATATATATATATATATATATATATATATATATATATATAAACTAAATACATACATACATGCAATGGCTGCAAAAGCATGATTGCTGATCCGATACAATTGCTGCAATTCTCTGTGTGAATATAAACCTGACTGGTTATATCCAATGCACTGCATGAATATAAAAAATAAGAAAAACCAATGTTCTTGAACTGTCTACCATCTGTCTTACACCATAGAATTTCCTATGTCTCATGCTCAGCCATACGTTTTATCTAATCACAACACCATGTCTTTCAATATGAAGACTGCATAATTATAGAGTTTGATGGGAATATGCACATTTAGTGCAAAATGTGTTCGTCAGAGCGTTTACCTTCTTTCAGGATCCCATTTTTTTATTTCTCCAAATTCCATCTCCTAGTCATCAATTTCAAGTCCATTCTCCATGCTCAATATTCTTCCGTTCATCCATCTCATAGCTTCATGCCTTGCCACCCATCACCTGCCCAGTGATGCCAACCGTCACCTGCCCTGTAATGACAATGCATTTATTTTATACCCCCTATGCCCCATCTAAACCATCTTCATATCTCCTACCACCTCTCTATGACCTCTACTTCCCCCATTTAATGTAATACTTTCCACCACCTATAGCATTGACTCTGCCACTTACCCCATGCCTTTTCTCATCATCTATTTCATACTCCCTGCTCTCTGTCCACTTATTGACAGTATAACATTGCAAAGTAATAAGACAATACATCGAAACAAGCAGTGTGATCAATCCATAGCAACATCATCTCCTGGCTGTCACATCCACAGCTGGCTCTGCAGCAGGTTGGGAATACACTCATGCATATATATCTTTGAAGACAGAGCAGGTCTAATAACAAAAAATAATTGATAACTAGGAAATAACACACCTGTGAGTTCATCATTTCTGACATGAAATACTACACGTTTACTGTGCAATCCAAAAAGAAAATGTAAAAAATGGTTTGCCACTTTAAATTGACATAAACTCCAATGCTGTCAGCTTGATTCATGGGCAATGTGTGATGTAATGAGCATAAGAGACAAAATAAAATTAGCACCTAATACCCTACTGCTGCCAAGTTACACCAGACAGAAGTTGTGCTAAGGTTAGCTAATGAAATCTCTGGGGTTTTCAAGGACAGAATGTACATACGCATACAAGCCAGCTAGAGCTTGAAGTTGTGGAGACTGGCCAGATAACTCTGTTGCCAAACTCATCTTGTGAGTGTCTGGGACTTGAACAATTCTCCTTCCCTACAGAGCTTCATGTCATGGACCATCAACTGAATGGACATCTGATAAAACAATTACTAACAAAAAAAAAATAAAACAGAACAAAACAGAACAATACTTTAAAGGAACAGTAAA